GTTCCTCGTCATCGAATATGTGTTGTTTAGTTTAAAGCCTCGTACTCCTATTGGCTAATGTTGATTACGTCATTTTAAGTATGTGTTGTTTAGTTTAAAGCCTCGTACTCCTATTGGCTAATGTTGATTACGTCATTTTAAGTATGTGTTGTTTAGTTTAAAGCCTCATACTCCTATTGGCTAATGTTGATTACGTCATTTTAAGCATGTGTTCTTTAGTTTACCTGGGAAATGAGGCACTACATTTTCACGTTTTTTATACTTTTTTGTTCAGGTGGTTTCGATATCCTAGGTGGGCACAGTACAGATAGCCCATTATTTAGCTTTGTGCGTTACTACAGACAAACGAACAAAGATTCCTATGTCTCCCTCAGTGGCTCAGCGGTAAATATGTGGGCTTATAACGCTAAAAATCGGGTTTCGATCCCCGTGGTGGGCACAGCACAGATAGCCCATTATTTAGCTTTGCGCTTAACTACAAACAAAAATTCTAATGTCGTTTATTTGAAGAATGTGAAGTTAGTTTTTTTCTTTCTTTTTTTTTCACCTGTACCTTGACAGATTATCGGTTTAATATTTCGATCAATGAAACCAGTTGAGTGACATTTATCGCCGATTTAAACGGCCACCCAGAGCAAGATTTCATCCCCCCAGATACATCTAACTTGACAAGTGTAACGACAGTTCGGGGTTGGAGGTTCCGCCAGCCGGTTGACACACATGGAGATTCCCATTCACGGATCCGCGAGACGGTCACGGGGGCGGGTCAACACACGTAGACATATTATTTATAATACGCCATTGACAGCGGGCAAACCAAAACACAAGGCGATAATTTTATTTCACGTGATTTCCGAAAGTTGTTTTGAGTTTTAAAAGAACTGTTTCCAATGAAAGTAAAGGAACATCAAAGTGGTTATAATTTCAAATTTCTATTAAATCATTAGATGGGGGGTCCTCAGCTAGAGTGTCTAAAGTCGTGGGGGGCGGGAGGGATCCACCTTAAAAAAAGTTCGTCGTACAGTAAATATTTTAACTTGCCTGCCCAAATCCCCAGGGTGGAATCTTCATGTAAACTTTATCTCGTTAGTAAGAGGCGATACGAGGATAGGATTGTTGTTTTATAAAATACACAGTTGTTATTCAAATAATGAATATTTTCTGTGTTGA